ACAATTTGATTTTTATTATATAATGTGTAAAATCCAGGCTATAAATATTTCGACAGCTGTCACAAAACATTTAAAAAAAAACATTTTCATTGTTTAGAACAAAGCTCTTGAGGCCTATTTTTCTAATTTAATGTGTTGAACCCTCAACATTCAGTACTGTTATCCCCTAGGCCAGGGTTTTTTGAAACTTTTTTCGGTTGTGACCCCCAGGACCCCATAATAGTTACAAAAATTTTGTGTGACATCATAAATATTGTGCAAATCTGACACAAGCCTGAGTGAAACTATCAATTTTTTCATTTGTACTGTAATGCACTATTTCAGTTAGGTCATTAACTTTAATTTCTAATTTTAAGACATGGAACAATGTGAAAATTTTAAATAAGTAACAAACGAAATGACAGAGTCATGTGCAAAGCAAGGAAAATGAAAGTTTATATTACAAAAAGAATGCGTCGAAATGTTTTCGCTTTTTTCTTTGTCTGTATTATCTTATCTTTATCTATTTTCAGATACATTGTGTAAAAATATTAGGTAATTGTAAAATTATTATTATACGTTAAAGAAATATCAAAACTGCTACAATTTGTGGTGACCTCCTTGGGAGTCACGACCCACAGTTTAAGAAACCCTGCCCTTGTGTGTGAAACTAACCTTATATCCTTGTTATAAATAAATAAATAAACGTGATATACTTTGCCATAAATACAGAAGAAATAATTTGAAGAATGCATCAGCTCATTCACCAATTTATTAAATTGTTATAGATTTTTTTATTATTAAAAAAATTTAAAAGCTAAAAGAAAATTAATATTCTCTTCTTGCTCAGAAATTTTACAAAATTGACAGTATTTGCTTTAAAGCGTGTTCTTAACTTTTTTTTCTGCCACCGATGGCTGTAGCATTTTAAAAATATTTTTATTTTGCAACATCTTCAGCAGAACTAAATTAATTGCTGTATTAATAGTATACCGTGTTCAGCTCTTTTCTAAAGTGAGGGGGGAAATTGAATTCCCCACTCACTAAAAAATCAACGCCACCATTCAGGACGAGACATTTATTCCTACTTACTATACATATACTATAATACATAAAAAACTAGAACGATTATCCAGCGCCATCTCTCAGTGAGCAGTGGAGGTCATAACACACGAGGCTCCCATGACCCAGTCATCAGCTCAACTAGAAATATAAATATAAAACATGAAAAAAAATAAACCAATCAGTCATTTACAGGAAGTCTAACCAGTTTATGTATTGGTCTTTTCATTTCACCCAACACAGTTTTTAAGTCGACTGACCTTACTCTTTGGTCAGTTCCCAAGGCTGCTATCACACGTCGGTTGGTATCGGAAGAACAAATAAAGATATGTTTGGAACAATTTTTCTGCTTTGTCACAACATCCAATCAACACAGATCGCTTTGGGGTTAACGCAGGGGAAACTGGTTCCCCATTACAAACAAGCTGATAGCTGATTGGTTCAAAACAAACAACCTGCAACTTTTTTGGAAAGGAAGGAAAAAGTCGCGCGTCTTTCTTTCAATAGTAAACCAGGCAGAAAAATTGTCCGAAACAGTTGTTCGTGTTAAACAAATGCCGTGTGATAAGTGCAATTTACTTTTGCCATCTTCCACTTAAGTGGTGTTTTCATTCTTGATTAACATCAAGTCATTCACACGTAAATCGGCACTGGGAAGTTTCCACTTGTTGCGCACTTGAGTCAAGTAGTCTTTTGACCACGATTTCCAAAACGATTGGGAAATCTGCGTGACTAATTTCCACCATTCACGGATGGGAATTTTTTCATTTGTAATATCAGGCTCTGAACACTTTTTACCTCACAACCGATAATAATGTGACTCGGTGTAATGACAGAAAAATCATTTGGATCCGCTGAAGCGGCCACTAAAGCACATAAGTATGGCTTCAATCTCCACTAGACATGTTGAAAATTCTTCTTGTGGTGAAACTTCATCGATTTAACGGCAGCCTCCAAAATGAAGGGCTGATGGAACATTCATTGTTCATTTAATGCTTTCGTTGGTCAAGTAAGTACAAAGTGCCTCTGTCATACACACTTTTAAGTAATTCTTTGCATCGATAAAGTTCATTCCACAATCACTGAATATTTCAGCTGGCTTTCTTCGTCGTTCGACGAATCGTTTCAGAACTTTAATACATAACTGAGGACTAACATCACTAACAAGTTCTAAATGGACGGCTTTCGTTGCAAAGCCTACAAACACACATACGTATATTTCAGTGGTTTAACTCCTCTAACACGTCTAGGGCTGATCAAGAATGGTCTTGAGAAGTCAGTTCTGGATCTAAGAAATGGTCTTCCAGGATTAACTATCGCAGAAGGTAAGTCAGCCATCATTTGTTTCGAAAACTCAGAGAAAAATCAGGCACATATTATGCCCTTTCTTATTTCTCTATGAATCACAGTTTTTGCTCCTATAATCCAATACTTTTGTTTCAGCGCAGAGTTAACTAACTGTACTCCTGCATGCATATAAGATGATAAAATGCTACTAATAATTTCGTAACAGGAAGATTTTTAGGCAATATTATTTGATGTTTCACAGACTCTGGTAAGCTGTAATTTCTTAAACGCCCTCCTACACATAGTATGCCACTATTGTCTAAGAACGGATTTAGAGAAAAATTAAAGAACTTTTCTTTGACACGCTCGCTTTCTCTAAAGTAGCTGTTTTGCTTTTTATAATCAGTTTTTTTGATTAGTTTGATTATAATATCATGTGCTTCTTTTAGTTCACTTATTTCTAAGAAGGGAGTCAAAATCCTATTCCCCCTCACATTTCTTATAAATCTTAAACACTAAGCGACAACTCCCTGCAACTTGCTCCAAGCTGAAAATTTGTTTATTTTCAATAGAGAGAACGGAGTTCCGGTCAATTAATGGGGCAAGTGTTCGTTTACGAACATGGAACTTGGCTATGAGCTGTGTAATATGTGGGGTCCAAGGTATCGGGCTTGCTCAGTCCACTGGATTGGGATATCGTACATGCGGATGCATGCTTCATTGTCAATATTTCTTCTTTTGGTACACCAAACTGCTTCAGATTTCTCCATGTTGATTTTGACTTTCCAGGCATTCAGCCAGGACTCAAATGTTTGGATGTCAAGTGATTTTACCTTGGAATGCCAGATAACAAGCTGATAGGTCTGTAGGAGGATGGCTCCGAGTGTGGTTTTTCAAGCTTTGGAACTGGAGTTATAATAGCAATCTTCCACGGCGATGGAAAGGGGCCCAGGTATAGCACTGCATTTGATGATTGAGACAAGTTTCAGCAACATGAGGACCCTCATGTTTTTGATCATCTTGTTAGATATTTTGTCCAGTCCAGGACTCTTCTTACTTGAAGTTTCTCGATATAGCCGTATACCTCTGATGGTTTGACAGGACGAATGTTGTTTGTGCATGGCTTTGAGAGATATTGAGATATATACTATAATACAGAAAAAAACTAGAAAGATTATCCAGCGCCATCTCTTGGCGGGCAGTGGAGGTCATAACATACCGTAATCTCAGTAGCAGTTGAAATGCCTTTTGAAAGGATTTTCTATGGAAGATTTGCTCATGTTTATGTTAAATATTAGAAAATTAATAATTTTTATTTCATTATATATAATCTTTATACCAAGCATATCATAATTAATAAGTAAGAATCTTGTTCAATTGAACTAACTAGCTCTCAAATTTGTCTCATTTGGAGACATTTTCATAAATTAGAATGTTCTGTGGACCCCCTTACTCATGTCCCCTTTGAAAATAATTTTTTACCAATATGTTTATTTTTTTAATGCAAGTAATTAAAATTCATTGAATTTTACATTCATATAAATGAATTAAGTTAATAGAAGGAGATTTATATTTGCTTTTAATAATTCAAGGTTTAGTAGAGTTTGGATATTTTTATCTTATTAACTAAAATTAAATAAATGTCATTTTAATGACATGGACTTGGCTGCCGATTCTTGCACAGCTGTTTCACATTTAGACATATGCTGGTAAACTTAAGTCTGAGATGGCACATATATTAAGTTGATTTTAATCCTTTGTTTTTATTTGAGTTAATGATGAGAATGGGTTTTTTTTTTACACAGATACGTAGAAACAAACGGAATTGTAATTTCAAAGCTCCATTTTACAATTCAATATATTCTATTTTCATTGGTAATAAGCTCCAGAAATTAACATACCTTCTACTTGGAATATAAATCTAGTGTCATTACAGAGTTCATTACTTTTCATTCAACTACAGCCTGTTATTTTTAAAATTGCAACAGAAAGAATCAAGAATCCATGACCATTCGTTACATTTACCATATGGAAGATAAGATTAAAATTCTGACCTCAGAGTTTTAAAATGCAACATATTGCCATCCATAATTCTTCTTTAAAAACAATATCATTCTCTATTAAAAAAAGTTTTTGTTTTACACAATTAGCCCACAAACTCAGTCTTCTCTCAAGAGCAATAATTTCTCATAGGCATTGAGAACAGTCAAAGATTTACTTTGTAGACTAAGATTTAGTTCATTTAGTTTTGAGAATAAATTGAGCTTTGAGAAAGATAAGTTAATGTAGTTACCCAAATGTAATCAGTAATGGATTGGTAAGGGAAAAAAATCATATTGGTAAGGAAAAAAAAAATGTGAAATCTAATTTCACTTACAAATAATGGGACATTTTTGCAATTCTAAGAGGAGCACAAGAACAGACGTCAAAGACCCATAGTTCAAGAAACACTGGTTTAAAGAAGTGTTTCAATTCTAAAATATCAGTTTTTATTCCACAAAATACTACAAACTGAAGATATTTAACTGATTCAGAAATTAGTTTAAAAAAAAAAAGGTGTATGAGTGTACTGTAAACTGAGTGTATGTAAACAACCACTTTTTTCCAACCTGGAGAAAGTAAAAAAAAAAAAAAAAAAAAAAAAAAAAAAAAAAAAAAAAAAAAAAAAAAAAGACAATCATAAAAAAAAATTTATTTAAATCATAACAGATTTTAAAAAAGAATAAATTTCAAAAGTTTATTAAAACATGAACAATGATAGAAAATTATTATCTACAATAATAATTATTGCTGTTCTTTAAAAACTGCCTAGTATCAGCAAAATTCATAATGCTACAATCACTTTTCCTTTATTTTTTCCACTGTACAAGTACTGAAAGAAAAAATTTAAGAAAGATTATAAAATGAAATCTAAGCCTCTTTTCATTACAAAAAAGTATCTTAATAAAAACTTAGCTAGCTGATAATAATAAAACTACTACGATAACACATGCCAAGCAATTTTCTACAGATAGACACATATGCACCAATTTGCCTATTATTCTTATCACTTTGAACTACTACTGTTACTGTATTAATCTTATCTCTTATAACATCCTTCTTATAAAAGTAGGATAACAGAAAATAGATAGAAATTGTCATTAGCTGATACACACACACACACACACACAACAAAAAAAAAAAAAAAAAAAAAAAAAAAAAAAAACCTTAGCACTATCTCAGTTAAGTGTTAAAAAAAAGTTATTTGTCAGTTTTAAACATATAGTCATCAGCTACTAGAAATCATGAAATTCTTGTACAGTCTCAGGTCAGAAAAGGTTTGAAAGGGTCCATGCTTTATAATTCAATATGATAAAACACAGTAATGATAAATTGATAATATATTATGATATGGTAATAAGATATCACAATAATGATCAGATAATATTATTATCTAGGAGAACAAGAATAAATTATTTCTTAGGATAAAATTAGCAAAGCAAGGATCTCTGGCATTGATTTTAATCACGACTCTATCAATTTTAAGGGTGAACAGGTGCACGTCTCTTTTCGCCAAGAACAAAAAAAAATATGAAATGAAGGGAAAGCTACATTGTATTTATACCCAGCAGGAGTTAAGCAAACGAGAAGGTGACACATCTGTTGGCAGACATAGTAATGAAAATTGAAAAACTAGTTAATAAAATTTTAAAGGCCTGAAATAGAATTAAAGACATTAACTAAAAAAGAAAACTGTTTGTGAATGTGAAAAGCTTAGAAATGCAATTTAACAACGGAAGAAACTTCTTGCATAATTTTTTCAGATGTAGTCAAAATTATGATTAAATTTCTAACTATGATTAGCTGCCGAAGACTTGTTAATTTTGCATTTCTGGACAGAATATTCATGTTCCTTGATGAGAAACTTTAACGCTCTTTTTGTTTGGCTGATATATTTCAAACCACACTAACATGATATGCTATAAACTCACTAGGAATTAAAGTCAGAAATGGAATCTTTAAGAACTAAACCATGGATTTTATTGATAGGCGAGAAATGACTTAAAAAACCAAACTTCTGTAGAATCCATGCAATTTCGTAAATGACAAAACGATGAAATGGAAGCACAGAAGGGTTATTTCCAACTGGCAGAATGTCTTCTTTGATGCTGAGATGAAAATTTCTTATGGTTGCAGCTTCTTGAATGAGCTCCTAACAAAGCAAGATGCAAGTTTTGACAAAAAAGTATTATGTTTAGTTACATGGGAAGGAAAGCAATCACAAATCATATAAAACACCGAAAAGCATAAAATCATTTCAATGAAGATGAATTCAGAAAATTAAAATAAATAATAATAATAATAAACAGTTTTGAAGCACAGCAATCTCTGGTGACAGTTGCTAATCATCAAATTTAAAGAATAGATAATTTATTTAAACAAATTTAAACTCTTTCATAACTAAGGACAAAATGTTAGCTGCAGAATTAATGTGAGCTCTGAAGCTTATTTATTCACATATAATGCATTTAATGATTTTTTTTGCACTTTTACATTCTCTTTTAATGCATTTAATGATGCTGCTCTTCTATTCCAGAAAATGTTCTATAACAGAAATAAAGCTAAAACTTTGACCTGGGATGCAAAAAAATGTCATATTTATGTCATTTGGTTTAGCTCCATACATAAAAAAGATGCTTGTTTCTGATCTTAAGAATACCAAATTCATTATATCAAATGAAAGGAAAGAACAGATTAAAATTTTGGAGTCAAGAAAACAAAAATTGAACAGAGATGTTTCTTCAATTGACTTGTAAATTACAGAATTAAAATAACAAATCTAGTTTTATGCTGGTTTTTTTTATTAATGTTTTGTTTAAATATTTTGATTTTTCTAACCTCTTATTCAAATTAAAAATTACATTTAGTTTGTATTATATAAGCTCATATTAAAAGTGCTTCATCAAAAGTCTGTTGATTTCTTAAAAAGAAAACTGATTTTTTGATCTTTCAGAATTTAGCAACTGTTGTAGTATTAGAGAAGTGCTTGTTCGGAAATTATATAGTATTATTTAATAGAATAAATATAACTGCTCCCCCACTGTCATTTTTTAAACAGCAACTTTCATTCCAGAATTTATCTGTAATAATTTTTGAAACAATAATGCAATTCATGACATAATTTTATCACAATCAATGGTTGAAAAAATCCAATGTTTAAAAGTTTACACATAGCATTGAAAAATCAATGAATTTCATTTTTTGATTTTGTTTATAACTTAGATGGAATGACTTGCAAGTATTTAATTTCTTTTGTAAATGTATGTTTTCATGCACGTAAAATTAATTAATCAGTTATACTTTTAATTAATTATATTTGTGCAGACATTTTATTATAAATGTATGTCAGTGACTGCAAATATTTCAGATACACTAACAATCAGTTCTGTTATTATATACCCTTTTCCTGTAATTAAAAATGGAATTTATTTGTGCTTAATTAATTTTATGATACAATTGATTGAAGAGATTGTTGGTTTAGTGTGTAACTACCATACAGCAAGTTTTCTTAGTTTCGCAAAAACTTTTGTGTTTTTAAGTAGTACCATAATTCATTTGCCCTCAGCACAGCGAAGTTTCAAACCTGTCTTAGTTTTCTATATTTTATTTAGTAATTAAAGAAAAAATAAATACCACTACTTTTTCCCCTCTTGTTTTTATGGCTTAATTCTCTATTTTTAAAGACGGCTTCAGGATGACTTCAAGAGGAAAAAAAAATACGATGAGATATTTATCAACAAAAAAGAGAATACCATATTCTCTCATTCTTTCATGTACGCTTTCCACAAAAGCAAATGAAAATCAGGAGTGTATCTTATACACATGAATGATTATAAATAGGTACATAAAAACATGTGGCAACACTGTAGTCTGTATTAATGATCGAGTAGAAAATCCACTATTGCTGTGTGAACATTACATAGGCTTGTACAAGTTTAGTTGTGGTAGCAGGTTACAGTGACATGCTGTAGGATACTGGTAGTACAGAAAATTAATCTATGGTACCTACACTAATTGTAAATAAGAAGTACTATATACAGAAACATGTTCCTTTCAAATAATAATAAAATTTTTACCTCAGTGCATGGTAATTACTACTTTCACACTTCCAAAATGAAATATATTGTAGATGCTAGATAGGCTATCTGTGGCTCACCCTTAGGAATTTTTTTTTTTTTTTTTTTATTTGGAGGCCAAAACGAAAGGTGTGGCTTATACACGCATGAAAAACTTTAAAAAAAAAATAAAGCAAAAAAAAGCTTAACGACGGGGTCGTTTAATATCGAGTCAAAGGAATGGGGAAAGAAATAAAACAAAATACGTCATTATGGCAACAAAAATATGTGGTGTGACTGTAACAGAAAAGTCCCAAGTTACTTTCATGCTTAAATAATCAAACTACAGAATTAATCATACTTAGAATTCTATAATAAATTTAATTTCATTCTACAATCTGAATACTCAGAAAAGATCTATGCAACTTACATCCATAGCTCTCACAATATCTTCCAATCCACTGAATGGCTTTTCTTGTGATCTACCATCATCAATAAACAACTTAATTTTCTTTTCATGCATTAGTCTGACCAGAAGACTTAAATAATGAGGGATATCTGATTTGAAATGAGGAAGAAGGAAGCCACTAAGAGTGGCAGATTGAAGAAGAAGCTGTAAATACATAACAAGATTACAATAAGAATTAAGACAAATACATACAACACATTTTTTTAAAATTATTCCTTAAAAAATTAAATATGAATTATAAATTATAAAGAACATGAATTAAAAACATAAAGCATTCCTCAAAATTAATTGTTGGAAATATTTCATTCAATATACATTTAATGTAATAGGAACACACATTCAATGCATTCTTGTCACAAGAAGCAGACAAAAGCATGAACAAAACGACTTCACATTTTCTCTTCTGATGTAACACTGGCTGATATCTTTTAATATATCTCAGTATATAAATTATGTTTCGGTTTGCTTTTTTATGCCATTTCAACAAAAACTTAAGGAAACATGCACTTTTCCAAATGTCGTGCTCATATAAGTTTATCCTGTGTAATTACTAATAAACTTGAATATCTGCTGAGAAAGGATGCTCAAGTGATATACTAAACTAAGGATCGTCCCTCAGAGGGTGGTATAAGAGAGTAAAGGGTTAATATGTTTGCTGCCATCTACGAGAATAATCGTAGTTGGCAACTTGAGTTTACTTGCTACGATCGCCTTACCAAAAATACTGAGTACAATTATTGCTGTAGTAAATATGTAAGATATGTGTAAATGTTTGGCGTGCAAAGAAAGGACTAAATAATACCCCTGGCATACTGATTTTTTTTAATGATATTTGCGTGGATGCTTTTGAGCATACGACACCTTGCAGTCCAATAAATAAACACAGCACATAGTCTGTGGAGTCAGCAAGTGCAAATCTAAAAAGATGAGTACGTAATTAATCCTGTTGTATCATGAATCTGAAGCAAGCAACACCAATAGCTCATGGCAGAGAAACACAGATCTATTTGTTCAATAACGAGCACCAATTCTTAGCAGTTGCAACATCCCTGTAATGATAGGTTTGGTTTATTTAACTATGGCAAAGCCTCGAGGGCTATCTGCCTAAGGGGAGGGATGCCTTCATGGAGGACTTTCTAAGGGAAACTGGCTGATATACACGTTACATATGGAGAAAACCACGAAAATGCCTATGCAGCCAGCTCGTTTGTGAGATTCAAACCTCAAACCGAACTAATAATGTTCAGCAACTTTGTCACAAATAATATGCCATTATGGCAACAAAAATATGTGGTGTGACTGTAACAGAAAAGTCTCAAGTTACTTTCATGCGACCCTCCAAAAGTAATTACTCCTCTCCTCTTCACATGGTGTCAAAAAAAAGGCACAAACGAATTGAGACCTGTGGGAGATTTTCGGAGGTTAAACGCTCAGACAGTGAGGGATAAGTATCCTATTCCCAATATTTGTGATTTTGCAGTGGAGTTACATGGAACAAAGGTATTTTCTCGATTAGATTTGGTTAAAGCATATCACCAAATTCCAATTAATCCCTCTGATATCCATAAAACGGCTATTGCCAATCCTTTTGGACTTTTTGAGAGCACAAGAATGCAATTTGGGTTATGCAATGCAGCTGCAACCTTTCAACGTTTTATTGATGAAGTAACTCGCGAGCTGCCAGGAGTATTTGCTTTTGTCGACGATATATTGATAGCGCCAAAAGACGAAAATGAGCATTTGATACACTTAAAAGCCCTTTTTGGAAGATTAAGTAATTATGGGTTAAGACTTAATGTATCTAAATGCAGTTTTGGTTTAACTTCTTTAGAATTTTTGGGTTTTCACGTATCTGAACAGGGTTTAAAACCTTTACCCAAGAGGGTTGAAGCTATTCAAAAATTTCCTAAACCAAACACATTAACTCAGTTAAGGAAATTTCTTGGCATATTTAATTTTTACAGACGTTTTGTCCCAAGAGCTTCAAATGTTTTAGCTCCCTTGAATAATTATATCCTCTCGAATGGGACGACGAAGCTGAGAAAGCATTCGAAAATGCAAAAAAGGCAATTGCTGAGGCAACCCTCCTCAAACACCCAATTCCTGGTGCGACTTTGAAACTTTGTACTGATGCATCGGATGCTGCGGTTGGTAGCTCATTAATGCAACTGCATAATTCAGTTTGGGAACCCATTGCGTTTCTATCCGTTAAACTCAGCAAAAGTCAAAGGAAATGGTTAACTTATGATTGAGAACTATTGGCAATTTATTTGTCTATTAGTAAGTTTCTGCACATGCTTGAAGGCAGGGTCTTTACAATCTACACTGACCAAAAGCCCTTAATATATGCTTTTAAGCAGAAGCCCGAAAAGTGTTCTCCACAACAACTTCGTTATCTTGATTTTATTGGCCAATTTTCCACTGACATACGATACATCAAAGGTCGTGATAATATCGTTGCTGATGCCTTATTTAGGGTAGAAATAGATGCAGTATCAGATAATCAATACTTTGATTATAAAAAATTATCTGAAGCACAAATTTAGAACTTTGAAATTCAAAATTACTTATCTCAATCTTCACCAGTTTTTAAACTTGAGAAACATTACTTTCCTTTAGAAGATGTTACTCTTTACTGTAATATGGACACAGGTATACCTCGAACGTTCATACCTGAATCTTTTCGCTCTACAATATTTCAGAAGATTCACTGTCTTTCTCATGCTGCTATTTCAACTTCAACAAAATTACTAAGCACTATTTTTGGCCTAATATAAAGAAATTTATTAAAACTGCAGTTCAATCATGTCTACAGTGCCAACGTTCTAAAATTCATAGGCATACGAAATCACTGTTGGGTACCTTTTTCCTTGCCTGATACAAGATTTGCACATATCCATATTGATTTCATAGGTCCTCCCCACTGTCTGAAGGCAACCGCTATTGCATGACAACTATTGACAGGTATACCAGATGGCCAGAAGTCATACCTATTGCTGACATGTCAGCTTAGACGACTTGCAAAGTGTTAGTGCATAACTGGATAGCAAGATTTGGCTGCTCGGTATCAATAACAACTGATCAAGGCCGAAATTTTGAATCTAACTTATTTAAGGATTTAATGAAAATTTTGGGCACACATCGCATTAGAACTACTGCTTATCATCCTCAGTCCAATGAACTGACTGATTGAGAGATTTCATAGGCAACTTAAAAGTTCAATAATGGCTCATAACAACCCAAAATGGACTGAAATTCTGTCTATTGTTCTGTTGGGTATTAGATCTGCCATTAAGAAAGATATAAATGATATAAATGCTATGGTTCTACTGTGCGCTGAACTTGTCTACGGTACTACACTTAGATTACCGTCAGATATGCTGAATGCTACAAATATTGTATCGCCTACTGAATCTTATGTGTCACAACTTCGATCAGTCATGCATTTAGTTAGACCTATTCCAACCTCTAGGCATATTCAATCACCAATTTATGTACATCCAGCACTTCAAACCTGTTCTCATGTATTTCTGCGTATCGATTCTGTTAAACCACCTCTAACTCCACCTTACACTGGTCCTCGTACCACGGTTAAATGAATGGATAAAAATTTTATTATTGAGGTAAATAACAAAAAGATTATAGTTACAATCGATCGTTTAAAACCGCCATATATGTTGTTAGAATGTATAAATTCACCTGTATTCTTCAGTTTCCACAGGAAGTCTGCGAAGATTAAAAAATTGTTCCAAAACAAGTAGTTACCCGAAGTGGATGTCATGTTCATTTTCCTAAAAACTAATTACTGTAAATTGATTAAAGTTTTCTCTTGTGGCTTGCTGCAAACGTTACAGTGTATAGCTATTTGATTAATTTTTTTTTTTTTTTGCATACGTATTGAGAGTTATATAAAATGCTTATTAACTTTTCATTATTTTTGTTTCACTAAGTTATGCATTGTATGGGTATAAATTCCAATCAGAATTGTAAATGTATTATTACTATTCATATATTTGTATTTCTTTTTGTACGTACAATTTTAAAGTATAACTTTTATTTGAATGTGCATATCTTAAATTGGAAATTTACAGCCAACCCCTTTTGTGTCATGACTGTGTCACTGGGGGGATATTCTGTGGCAATCTAATGTTCGACTGCATGCGCAGCCAATCCATGTCATGTGGTTTTTGTAAAAACTGCTAGCGCTGCAGTGAACTAGCTCACTTCGCCCTTAGCTGGAGCATAGGATGTTTGAATTTTAGTTTAGTAGATTTTGTTATTTCATTCCGTTATTTCAGTTGTGTTTAAAGTTATGGTGTGTGTGAATAAAGGTTATATTTAAGGAAAAAGGAGTCATGTCAATTCAAGGATATACACCAAGCACATAACTACCATGCCACTATAAATGATAGAATCTGGCTTTATGAATGCACTCTCTAATAGTCTATTTGATGTTTCTAAGAGGAGCATGTAATTCAGGTTGGTTATAACTACAACGAGCATGCCTGCCTGTTCATAGCAAGGAATAACTCTATGACTGGGCATCCATTGCAAAACAACATCCATTCCTGACTCAATTAGAGAGCTAATCAGCAATTTTCACTGAAGCTCATTGTAAATGTTTGGCGTGCAAGAAAGAACTAAATAATACCCCTGGCATACTGATTTTGTAAGGTCAATATTGTAATATTGTAGTTTGAATGGCAGTCCAAGATTCCAAGACACCAGCACAAGCCCCTCCAGCCATCGCAGAGCTATCAGTATAGATATGAGTCTAGTGCACTGTAGGATATCTCTCAAAGATAGTGGCCAGTGCTATAGTTTTAAGGTCAACACAGAAAGAAGAACACCTTTTAAGGTCAAAAGCTGCTCATGCAAAATACAAAAAGCCTGGAAAGGTTATAAGGTCTAAAAATAGTCAACAGATTTAAGGGAAGCCTCACATTTCTTGATAGTTGATCAATCATCACAAGAAAAGAGTTTTATGGCTAATCTATATTGAGCTGGAATATCAAAAAGCTGTTTTACAAAGGAATCTTTCATGCATAGTCAAAGCAGCGATCCGCCAAATTAGTAAGCCAGTCTGCAGTTCCATGACCACCACAGGAGTTGAAAAAGCTGCACTAATAATGAGCCAGAGTGCA